GAGGGTGGAAGCATTTCAGTGTGTGCAGCTGATACCAGGTCCGGGGGGAACTTCCAGGCCATGCTCCATCTCCAAATAGCGAAGAATGTGCTCCTGCTCAATTTGAAGTTGTTTCCGTAGAGCTGGCGGAGCTCGCTGGAGCGACAGACGAGGGTGACGAGGAGCAAGACGACGAGCAGGAGGCATCCTGACGGCGCTACCTCTGTCGCTTCCGGAAGCTCCGCCACCTCGTCTTGCTCCTCGTCCCCCTCGTCGTCTTGCTCCTCGTCACCCTCGTCGTCTTGCTCCTCGTCCCCCTCGTCGTCGTGCTCCTCGTCCCCCTCGTCGTCTTGCTCCTCGTCACCCTCGTCGTCGTGCTCCTTCGGTCCCGGTCGGCCCGTCATCTCCGCCATCTCCGCCGCCTCCGGGAGCTCCACTTCCTGAGGAACCAGGGCCCACCCTCGGCACCGCAACCGTGGATACCCGGGTCCCTCCAGCTGCTGCCCTGGCCGCCCAGCGCGAAGGACTTGGCCATGACAGGCTTTCGGTCGGTGATCGCGGGCGGTCCTTTTTTTTAGGAAAAGAAAAGTTGGTGATCAAACTTCGAAAGCAAAAGCTCTGAGGTCGGCGCCTGTAGCAGCCTCTGGCTCAACGATGCCGTGAAGAGTGATGACGGTGTAAGTACTCTGTGCTGTCAGTTCGCAATGCGTCAAACATAGAGCTTGTGAGGGTCCGCGATTTGCACGACTTGACCGTGACAGCCCCTGTGCCACAAAAAAAAAGGAATTAGGGCCCGCTCAAACAGTCATCGAAAAGAGCATACCGTAAACCGAATGGTCATCTCCGCCACCCCCCCCCCCCCCCCCGCCCCCTCCTTGTCTCCGCCAGTTAGCGAGCGGTCGGAGTGTTGCCTTTGATAGGTTTCTCGGGTTGTTGGTGATCGTACGATTCTTAAGTACTAAGTGCATATCCGACATAGCAGGGGGGGGGGGGGAGATGACCAACGGTACCATGCGGACCCCTTCTCCGCTGCTTTCAGCATGTAGTGGAAAGTAATGGCTGTCTTGCAGCCAGTGGATCCCTCGCACAGATTTTTGCCATACTGTTTGATTGCCTCGTTAACGCAGGGACAGAGGGAAATGATCCTCACGTATGCAAAAAAAGGGCATACGCCAAAGAGAATATATCCCAAAAAAGAAAAAACCCGGGCTATACAAAGGATGGCCGAAGAAGAAGGAAGAGATCATTTAGTGTTCCATACAGGTGCCGGGGTTCCCATGTTTGCTCACCTTAGAGCCACGGAAGAGGCTCGCCGTCGTCTCCTTCATCAGGTGGAAGGCCAAAAAGCACCGCCTTATCGTTCCCTTTCACTTCTTTGCCGGCGGCATCGACCGCTTTCTCCACAATGCGGAAATACATCCCCCGTTCGGCCGGATGAAATACACGTAGGTGTGGGTTACCACACCAAAAAACCTGTCGGCGGGTGCGTCTGGCGCGACGGGGGGCGGTGGCGGCGAGGGCGGGTGCACTGGGTTGCCCATTGCGAGAGAGCGAGAGCGAGATAGAGAGAGAGAGAGAGAGAGAGAGAGAGAGAGCTGGGAGTGAAGAAAAAGGCCGGGGGGACGAGCGAAGTGGCCAATGGTTTGATGCACTGCATAAGTTAGAGTAATATCTTCTTGAATGGCTTGCCGAGATTCTGGGCTATGAATGTGGCCACTTGAGCCGTCGTCTCAAAATGGAGGATTCCCCATGGTCTGCAAAATGACTAATTTCTTGCTAAGAAAGTGCCCTTTTTGAATGCACAAATGGATTCTCAGGCCCCAAAAGCCCCCCTGGCCATACCTCTTTTGTGTTTCAACGGAAATGTGTGTTGCAATTGCAAAAGCATGGCGTCGGGGGGCAAGCAGGCGGGCGGACGGGCTTTATCGAGCAAACGATAATATTCCCTGTACTTTCGTCACATACTCATAGTTGCCAGGCCCTTGATAATCGTTGCCTCGAATTTCGAAAACCAGTCTTGTTTATTTGCCACGGTTCCGTCCGGTGCAGGGCGTGCACCAACCTTAACTAGCACCTCTTCTAAGTACGAAATTGCTTTCAATGCATTCGACACTTCGGTGGCATTTAGAGGCCGATTGACGGCTGCGCGGAAGGCGCGAAGGTACTTTAGGTAGAGAATAAGGCTTTTCGTATTGCCAGAGCGAGCGGCGGCGGTGGCCCTCGTCAGATTGAAATGTTTGTTGACAGTGTTATCGTTGTGGAGGTTCGCGAGAGAAAACGGCTCAGAACCCGGCGAGACTTGACAATTTCTGCGGAGGACGGTGGTGGAGCTTGTCGTCTCTAATGCCCCGGTGCGGATGTTGCCGCTGACCAACAAGTGCTTGAACCCCAGTCCAATCACATGCCTGTCGCTCTCCGCATTCCATTCGGTACAGCGGAAGACGCCTTTTTCACGGCCGTCATCACAGAAGCCAGCTCGCTCTCCACCAGGGCCGTTGCGGATTCAGATGGTGGACTCCGAGCCAACAAGAGTTGGGTAGATGGCCAAGACGATGGGTTCGTCTCGCCCAGGCGTAATTAAAGGCACGACAAGATCGTCGTCTCCACCGCACCAAAGCCACTCGACGCTTTCAACACTTCATCAACGCCCGGAATCTGGCGCACCGGCCAAAATTCCACAAGACCGCGAGACAATCGGCCTTGCTCGGCAAGCGCAAGCAGTTCAGCAGTCATGTCACTCAAAGTGTACACGCAGCGAGAAGAGAACTGCTGGTGCTCGTGTCGTTTCCGGTCCCCGCCCTCGCCTCTGATGTTGCAAAGGAACGCGCGTCCGCACTCCTGGCAGGCAAACAAGTATCTTGCAGATCGAGCGATGTGTCGAGGATACTGCGCGGATGTGATGAACCGGATTTCCTGATCGTAGTAGGCCAGGACGTCGTCGTTCAAAGTCATTGCTGTGCGGTTGCGCTCGGCGGTCTCAGCAGGCAGCATGTTTCGCATTGCCAGATGAGTGTGAATGGCGTCCTTTGTTGCGTCCGCCAGACGGTTGACCCCCCAAACCTTCATTCCTTCCCACAGATCTTTGCCTTCTTCCATGGTGAGGACACAGGTTTGCCACGGCACGCTGCCTACGTCGGAAACTGCGAGGGAGGGAAGCCGTCCACGCAGCAGGGGTGTCATGCCGCGCGACCGGTAATCTTCAACCACGAGGAGCATCGATGCCAGCTGCGCCTGTCGCTCAGCGCTCTGGGGCGGTCCGACGGATGACATCGAACGCCGAATGCCGCTGCTCTTAAAATGGCGGGATTTTTGCCCCAGCTCCGGATCGGGATGTCCATGTGAGTGGACACTTATGGCTTGGTAAAGACGCTCCAGCTGATCGCACAAATGGTCCAGCCGCCGAGAAATGCCGTGCTGGTCACATGCATGGTTGACCTTCGGCACGACTTGATCCCGTAGGAAAGCAAATCGACCGTTTGGCGAAAGCGACTGTCCGCTGCTCAACGCCTCTTCGATGGTGCACACCGTCACGCAATTACTAACTTGGCCAGGGTGATCAGCTCAATCTCGTACGGATTGTAGAGACTGTTATATGCCGGTCTTCCGGGATCCAAGGAAAAGACGGTCAACAGTACATCATTCGTGTCGGAACCCGTTCTGAGGAGCATCGGGCGGCCAACAAGTCGGTAGAACTGGTTGATGCGGAATCTGCGATCGCCGGTCTCCGCCATCGTCTCGTTCTCTCTCTCCTCAGTGCCGTTCGCGTTCGTCAGGCGGTTGTAGCAAAAGATAGTGGAAACATCTTTGCCCATCACGAACGCCGACAATGGACGCAATATGTGCAGCCGATGCTGCAACCAGAGCTCTGCCAGACGCCTGATTTTCAAATCGGAATGAAGAATCAAGATTTCCCAAAAGTCACGGAAAGGTCCGCGAAAATGCTGTGCGCAATCACTATCTATGGTGTCCAAAATGCACCGTTCAATCTGTTGGATCAAGCGCGGTCCTTTGCCAGTGTCCGCATAGTCGGCAAAGAAGGGCGTTTGAGTATGGTAAGCCCCGAACGGCACTGTGGCAAGTGACGACTTGGTGGCGTCGGGTTCGAATCTGTTAACTTTGCTGGATACATATGTTGAGATTCTCGACCGTAAGATGACGAGCGAGCGCAGGACACATGCCGTGCCCGGTAGGCCTGACGGACTCGATGACAGAGCTCCTGGTCCAGCTCGTCATTGCGATCGTCATCAACCGTCGCACAAGAAGCGAGCTGGAGACGAACCCGGTCCAAGATGCTCAAAGTGGATGGGGCAGGTCGACGACATGCTCCCATCCTCCCACTGCACAGTTGAGTGCCAATGGGCCGAGCAAAAGTCTCATGACGGTCTCATGACGGTCTCCGTATGTCTCGATGTTTCCCGGTAACCGCGTCTCTGCCGACTTTTGAACGGTGGCGCCGGTAGTGACGTCGGACATGTCGTCAGCGCAGTGGTTTTCGACGGCTCCCGCTGCGTTGATAGTCAGAAAGGCGATGCGGTGCGGCTCCGTAACGTAGCCTACCACGACGTTGCCAAGGTGTGCCATCGTAAGGTTGGTTCCAGCATCTGTACGGATTGCGATGCGGAGAGTGAATAGGGGCTGCGCCGTGATAGTGAAGGCGGCTGACGGTATCACGGCTGCCGCTGGCGGACGCTGGTGGGAGCTGGGTAACGCAGCGGGCGCGGAGAGGCGTGGGGGCGAGCGCAAGACGGCCAGCCTTTTACGATAAACCCGGCAGTGCTGCACGTCGCCGGTTTCCTTGCGTGCACCTGGGGTACCGACCAAGGTACACCCAACGTAAAAAAAAGTGAACGGGTGAATCAGCCAGAGACTGCGATTAGACTCGCTGAACCAGATGGGCGTAGCAGACATCGATGGGTCGTTTTTGCACTGCCCGTGGAGTCTGCGAGAAGGGCAGGTTCTGTTGTTTAAGTGCAGAGTATTGTTAAGTATGATACGGAAATGAAATATAAGCAAATAAAAGCGGTCCTATGGTGTAGTGGTTAGCACTCTGCACTTTGAATGCAGCGACACGAGTTCGAATCTCGTTAGGACCTTCTTTTGTTTTCATTTTTTTGTTCCTTGTGTCCCTCGCGCCATGTTATTTGGTATATACGGGGCTGGAGCTCTAATCGCGGCCCGCCTATGCTAATATCAATCAAAGAAGTATTGATAACCGTCTCAAAGATTTATCAAAAGCATATCAGGAGACATTGGTCTTGAATCTAGGCCCAACTCCTAACAGTTCAAGCTCACTTCACCCCCCATGAAGTAGAGCACGCAAAGCAAAGTTATGATATTTTGATATTGCAGCCAAAAAAAAGGGGGGATATAAAAGACAAGAACCCTATGAGAAAATACGGGCCTCCCCCACCTCGCAGAAGAGAGCCTTATGTGCTATTGGCCAGGCGCCCGCGCCAGCGCCCCGCCTCCCTTTATCGAATAATACAAATCGTCTAGCATTTCCTGATCATTGCGGTAATACGCCGACGCGCTGGTCGGCCCGCTTCCTGCTGTCGCGACGCCGGCGCCGCCCGCTACCACGGTTGGCCGCTGGCCAAGCTGGTGATCGGAAACACGCCCCGATGCCAGCATCGGGGCAGGAGAATGCGCGGTCGCAGGGCGCGAGACGGCGGCGGCCGCTGCTGCTGCTGGTGTAAGAGCCGGAGGCTCCACAAGCCGCGCACGGCATTTTGAAACCGCGGCCGTAAAGTCACCTCGGCGTTTGGCATCCGAGAAGCGAAGAACTGTTGACGCGGTCGCCGCCGACCCTGGCTGCGCGTGACGCCCATCGCTCGGTGCAGAGTGTATCGACGCATTGCTGCTGCCAAATAGCCGCTGCGTCGACGATCGAGGGTGCAGCCCGGGATGTGCGTGTGCCCCGGACGACGACGCCACATCCCCGCCCGCACGCAGGTAAAGTACGCCAGCATCTTCCGCATCCTCGCTCACCACCGTCGCGACAACCTCAAACCGTTCCCTTAAGTCAAACTTTTTACCCTTAACCACATCCTTCTTTGGCTTGCGCACTCCGCAAACCAAGAAGCAGTCCGAAAACAAAAACACCACAACGCGCTTGCCGTCGGCGCAGTCCTCGGCTTCAAAATCTTGTACAAACCGCCGCTGCGTGAACGATATGAGATTCGTTGGAAAATTCTCCACCTCGGAGGCAATCTCAAACATGCGATGAATGTCGTCGTCGCGCCGCTTGGCATAGTCGAGCATGCTGCCCATTTGCAGCATGTATTGTTCGGCCACTTCGATAATTTCGTGGGCTGGATCATTTTGATCGCAATGTTTACGGAGACCTGGAGAAGGAAAAGCAGCGCATGAGCGGCCAAATTCGGCGACGACCTCCGAAACCCTCGAATTGCAAAACATACGTTGCAGCAGTAGCCAATACCGGCTGATCCGCTGAATCGGCAAAATCAAGAAGCCCGACAGGTCAACGCGGTTGCACTCCGGCTTACGTCTGCATTTCTGCACGCCCAAAAACATGTCAGCAACAAATCACTGATCAACCCTTTTGGAAGACAGCAAGCCCGATCTCTGTTTCGATAATCCCGCGTACCTCGAGAAACTGCTTAAAGGCCTCGCCGCCCGTCCGCGAATCCTCCAGCCTCCGAATCGTCTTTTTCGCCATGGCGTAATTTTCCACGTACTTAACGTAGTAATTCCATTCCTCAACCTAATCAACGATAACAAATCCGGAAGTCAGCAAACCAGTTTCGATTTGTAAGAGTGCACCACATGCCCCGTTGCAAAATCCCTCACATGCTTTAAAAACACGGGCCCGACTGCAAACGGATCCGTATCAAACACTCGTGCTGCATCATCCAACTCACGCGCGACGCATTCCGCCAGCCGCGCCAGCTCGGGAACGTTTTTGAAAATGTTGTCCACATCCGCACGGCGCGCAACAACGTTTTCGTCAATCAGCGGCCGCATGATATGGTTGACCAGCGTGCGGAGATCGTTTGCGTAGCGCTCTTCGGTATATCGGAGCTCATTAATGACTTCGAGGACGACCACGCGCCGGCGGGACGCCAACTCAAGCGCAGCGGGTGAGTGGGATGGGACAGGTGGGGTTGGGAGCGGATGCAAGTGTGGGGACGGGTGGCCATGGGGCCGGACATTGCCATGACCAGCGGATCCTCCTGCGTATCCCGGGTGAGCCCCTACCGATCTGTTTTGGGCCAGATTTTGCGGTGATTGTTGCGAGGCCAGATCGGCTGCATCCACCCATGCGGCGCGCTCTCTGCATTGTGAGAAATCAATTAGCACTGCGACTGGCCTTGCTTGACCTGCGTAGTGATTTTTGCGACCTTTACCTTAAACGTTCCTCCGTATTGTCCGTATGGAAGCCCTGTCTTGCAATGTTACTGGTGAGGTCCTTCATGAGCTTCAGATTCATGGATAGCGGCACCGGTTTACCGCCGGCCTTGAGCGTGCCAGTGGTATCCCAGTATTCGCGGTATATGATATCATTCTCCTGCTCAATCCGCTGGATCGACGTCTTCATGTCACCATTAGACGGCGTCGATGGCGGCGGACGGTGTGGGAGGTGTTGCTGCTGTGGATTGTAATGCTGGTGATATTGATGGTAGTCTGCAGGCATTGTCTCGCTACGCGATGTATCGTATACGCTCGAGGTGCGGGAAAGGCCCTCAGACTGGGCGCTACTGCTCGTGCTAGCGCGGCGAACGCTCAGGGACGTTGTGCGCGACGGCAGTTCCATTCCAGATGCAATCGCAAAGGCGTGCTCCTGCGCATAGAGCTCCTCCGCTTTGTTGATAGGAGAGACAGGCGTCGTGGGCGCCGATTGCTGCAGCTGTTGTTGTTCTTCGGCAAAAGTCGGCGCATCAGGTAGCAGCCGAAGGTGAGAGGCTGGAAACGCTCCTTGTATTTTGGTCATTCGGTGCATTCCAAACGCCGTCTCATTGTTATCGCCTCCGAAAAACATCACGTCGACCTCGTCGCCGAGCTTTAGCGATGTTTCCAGCTCGGTTTGCGCGTTAAATGTCTTGATAGCCAGATAACGTCCCGGTTGCCCGGGCTGCGGTGCCGACGAGGAGGAGGAGCCACCGTCCGCAGACGCAACAGTGTTCACAATTCCATGCGGTCGGCTCTGCTGCGTAGTATTTCGAAATGTCGAGATGCTTCCGCTGCTGGCAGGCTTCTTCTGTTCCCAATCAGGCTGCTGCGTGATACACGCGAGGGGAAAGGTGCCTTCCGCGCCGGTGGCAATGTTTATCCCCAACGCCACCAACCCGCCATCCATGACACATGTGATGCGCACGCGGTCACCGGCCTTCAGATTGATGTCCATAGATGACGGATCCGCTTTCCGATGCTCGAGAAACGCGACATAGACATTCTGCGGACTGACCTGCGAAGGATCCACCGGCGGAAACATAGATGCGGAGAGTGTGCCGGGCCCTTTCGCTGCCGCTGGATCACTCGAGGACGACTTTGGCGGTTGCAATGGCTGCGGTGGCAGCGGCTGAGACGAAGGATGAGCAATTACGGGATTAACAGGGGCGGCTTCGTAGATTGCAGTACGGTCCGGGTGTGACGGCAGTGTCGAGCGCAAGCTGGACATGGGAGCTGCTGGCCGCGGCCGTCCAGCACCACCCGCCCCTGCGCCATAGTATGAATAAGACTCCGCATTGTCTGCATATGCTACAGGCGATTGGTGCACCGCGTCTGTAAGGTACGAGGAGCCGCCGCTGCCAGCGCGGACAGGCCCTTGCGGTATGGCGATTTCAGACAGGTTGATGGTGCGCGGTGCCGTCCAGGTAGGAGCGCGGACAGGAGCAGCTGGCGAGAATAGCTCGGCTGCCGACGCCTCCTGTTGTTGGCGCGGTGGAGGAGGATGTGGCAACGGGGCGGAATAGTTGAGCGCATACGGTGTGCTTTCGCCCATTGCGCCTGGCGCTGCTCCGTGTCCGCGGCCATCGCCTCCTGCGGCACGACCTTTGCCTTTCCATGATCCTGCATGGATGGCGTCCTCCAGATGTATTACGTGGGCCCGCACAAGGGCAAGGTCGGCGAGGGCGATATCCGGCTCGTGGTAAACGAGCTCCGTTACCCGAAATGTGCTGTGGACAGAGTCTACTCGGCGCAACTCGGCTGCGAGGGCCATGAGCTTTGCCAAGCTTTCAAGCAGGACATGCTCCTCCGCTGACGTGCTGTTGCCGCTGTGGTGCTGAGAGAAGGCCATTTGGAGGAACGAGGCCAAGATGGGCTACGGGCAAACGGCCCCCGCCGCGTGCCGCCGCCGTTCGATTACCCTCGCCAACCCCGCATCGGTCGCAATGAGCTTCCCGGCGTATCATGCCACAATACCTATTCAGTCCTCCCCATTGCAGAGCGTGACGCGTGCGTCCTCGCACGGCCGCCGTCCTCCAATTCTGGAACGAAATCTGGTCAAGGGCCGCTCCACGGAGGTGATTGACCAATCTTGCGGCGTCAGCGATCAGTGGGTTTCGACAGCTAAACCGTCCTCTCTAGGTTAGCCTCTCTGCATATGCATTTCTATTCTGTGAAATGCTCAGTTATGCCACCAAGAAGAGCAGTGGCATTCAGGATATGGAGAAAAAGTGCGTGTGAACAACACAGCAGCGACATTTTGAGCTTTTAGCGCGGGCAGTTTGCTGACAATTTTTCCTTCTCCTTGTGGAAAGGCTCAGCGACTTTGGATACCGGGTTGGCATTCGCTCTCTCGAGCTGCTCGTGTTCCGTGACCGCCCGAATCGCCGCGATACCCGGCTGCTCAACACGTTATCATTCATTCATACCAACATCTGGAAGGCATTGTTTGGACGGGCAGCGGACTCGCTGGAAAAGGGGACCGATAATGAGGATGAATGTATATGCGCGGCTTGACAAGAACTCTGTGACGAGCGTAGATGAGGATGCTCATGCCATGGTTCTGACGTTTTGCAGATATGATATCGGACAATGAGCCCAATGTAACGAAATTCATCGCTGTGCCGAAAGAAATGAATCAGCTTAGCTGTGGGGCATTCATTGGGGGCATCGTAGAAGCTGTTTT